TAGTTTTTTCTCTTCGGTTGAATGAAAATTAATGTCGTTAACTAATGAGAATCACACTATATTTGACTGTGATCTCTGGCTTATGCACACTTTCTTTCTCTTTGCCGACCCACATTGGTGCGCTCGCTCGGTCGCCAGTCTCTGTCTTTCGAGAATATATTCAGTTTCAAAAAAGTTCAACACTTTCGTTCATCATTGAAAGATTAATTAACGACCATTTTCTACTTTATCAATATCGAATATATTGAAATTCATTTTTTCTTTCTTTTCGGTCAATTTGTGTGTCTAAATGAATCTTAACACATTAGCAATGCATTAGACCGCGCGCTGAAATGTTGCTACAAGTCGCATTGCCTACCAACGATGAACCAATCGAGAAAATGTAAGGAGATAACGAAAAATTGGGTGTTGCATTCAAATCCACGTATTAACATTTTTGCCTGATAATATTGTTCTCTCTTTTTTTGTCCGACTCGGTCTTTGCACACATGTGTGCACTATTCCACAAATCCATACACTCACAATGTTGACGTTTCACTGTTTACATTTTTGTTCCCTTTGCGTTCACAGAGCTCGAGCGATATTCATATTAAACTTTTGTTTATGTTTTCCTTCGAACAATAACAACGACAACAACGACGACGAAGAAAAAGCAAATCGGTAAACTGCATATATAATTCAGGCGCGCAAAACGGCAGTTCGATTTGGTGTTCATGTGGCAGCAAATATTTTTAAAATTCGTCACGTTTAGGCAATAATGCCGAGTTCCATGTGCACGAACACATACAATTTTATGGTGTTTTCGTGGTCGCATCAGCTCACTGTGTGCGCGCAACTTGCACTTGGAATCGAAAGAAAAATTTTTTTGCACATATTCGATTTACATTAACAAGCAACAACAATAAATTCGACAGCCGACAATTTGCATGTGAAAACGAAAAACGACAAACGGAGCAACGGCGGCTGTTCAACGACAACGGATCGGCCGCATAACGGATTCTCTCTTTCTATTTGAAAAATTGGTCGGGCAAAACTTTCGCAAAACTAGAAAATCCTTCTAATTCGGATGAACGCGCATGGGCCGAAAAGCGTAGCGTGAAAAATGACTGGCCATTTTTTACAATTATCGTAAGTTGGTGCGATTGCGTGAAATAGGTGATATAAAACAAGAGTGGAACACTTCAAATCGTTGGGCGAATGAGTGAGTGAGTGAGTGAGTGAGTGTGGAGTTGAAGGAGATCGAAGGATTGGCGAAAAGAACGTGAGCGAAGGAGATGAAAAGAGTGAAAGAAAGAGAAGGCAAGGGAATGAGAGTGAAAGAGTGTTACGATTCTCGTCACACATCAAAATAATGGAAGCCAACACCAAAATCTCAACTAAGTGCAGACTCTGTGGAGTGTGTGCGAAAGAGAAAGAGACGCGTTGGTAAATAATCTTGAATGTAGTGCTCTTGTTATGAGCTTTGAGTGTCCGAACGAAATAAAATACGATGATTTTCCATGGAATTTCAATTGAAAACGACCGAGCAGATGACGACAAGACAACCGATGATACATATATATGCACAACGATCTTCGTTTTGATAGTTGAGAATGTGCGTTTATGTAATTGAAGCTTGTTTACACAGCATTGAAATCGAAACCAAACTCTGTGTACTATCACGCGGCCGGACGAGTGCAGTTTAAATAAAAGAAGAAAAAAAAACACACGAAATAAACAGCTAATTAAATCTTGTTTTTCACTTGGAATTCGTATGTCTGTGTGTAGACTGTAGAGCGAGATGTGACGTTACAAAATCGTACATGCATTGTCCGCACATACTGGATCAAGTAAAATTGTCTATCAATTTGGCCCGCACTCAACTCAAAGTTCAAAGCGAACGAAAATGCACACGAGAAGAAAAAAAAATACACAAAGACTGTTTTGATTCAAGATGTTGGTGCACACATAAAATGCGGACGAAAAATAAGACATAAAAGAAATAGGCTAAATTCCGTTTGCGGGCTGCGACCACATTTTCGTCTTGCATTGAATTTGATTGAATTAGAAAACGATCTTGTCGAGTAACAAGATATTTTTTTGCTGAACGCATATTTCATGTTTATTGTGTTTTTATGTGCCCTGCCGTTCCATCTCGGCTTCATTGCGCGACCGTATGACGTAATTTGTCGATGTGAAGCAACCGAAATAAGAATCGATGACCCAGGCAACGAAAATTATGACGATGATGATGGCATAGAGAACAGAATGCCCGCAAGCCATCATGAATTTCAACAAAATATTTTCTTTAAATCATTTCCCCGAGAGAAAGGCCACATCAAATTACCGACATAAAAACTGCATGAATGCTAAGCGTTGACGTGATTTTTCTCATTAGATATGATTTTATTACAAATTCATCATTTTGATCTTGAACAGAGGAAAATCATTCTGTTCTTTGAAGATGAAAAAAAAACGTTTGCCAATATTTGAACATTTTGTTCGACAGAGTATCGAGTACGTGCGTCGTACGTTCGACCTATTTACAGGCTACCGTTGAATTGAAGACACAATGCCAATGGTTGTCGTTTCATATTTTACAAATATTTAAACATTCCGTTTTGTTATTATTTACTGAAATGTGCGATTATTGTGTGGCCTCCGAATATTTGAGTAGTTTTGCTCGGTCATTTTTTTTTTCGTTGTCGTCGTCGTCGTCGTCGTTGATTTGTCAGTGCATTAAGATTTTTCTCTGTCTCTGCGTCACATCATGGATCATCGTCGATTGACATCGTCGAAGCTGTTTACAAGCGATAGATTAAACAACATTGTATGATGGTTTTAATTATAAAATTGTTTTTCTTGACTTGTGTTGACCATCACCAGAAGATTCATTGAGTACAAACCGATGTACGCGATAGAGTGGGAAAAAACTGAGTGCGTCTGTCGCTTGATATCGTGTTTTACAAGCGGCTCAACCAATATACAAATTGTTATATTCGCATATTGCCGTGTCGAGCGGACGAGCGCAAGCGAGCAAGCATTTGCTCAAAACATGAAAGAAAAAAATGACAATCGTATCCACTCCACACACCGCTTGCTAGCAAGCAGTAGTTTCTGTGTGTACAGCACTCACGACTAGCGGAAAAGAAAGACATCGACCTGAAAGCGTCGCCGTGTGTGCGCGCGTGAACGAGATGCAAACCAATAAATGAGCAATGACATAATTTCTGTTGTCAAATGACCTTAACGAACATTTCTCGAACACTCAAAAAAAAAAAATGATTGTGAAACTAAATAAAAAGAAAGAGAGAAACATGGCATACATGCACACACATTCAAGAGCCATAACATTTTATTGCGCGCGCGCACAGCCACAAAATTTTGTTCTCTCTGTTGCTCGATTTTTATTGATGTTAAATACACGAAAGAAAAATCGTTTTTCACCTTGTTTTCAATTTTAATTATTGCGAACATATTTCTCTCTCTCTCTCTCTCATTGCTCGCTCGCAAGCGCAATCCACAGAGCTCTAAAATTGCATTTTTAATGCGGTTGCATTGTTTTGTTTCAAGTCTCGATCCGCTAATTAAATTAGCGGGTGACATATTTTAGGCCACGAATTATAACAAGTTACAGCCAATTTACGGCTTTACGCTCGCCAATTGCAACACAATCGCGCGCACACTCATCAATCTAAGCATTTCAGAGAGATTGTAGAAGTTTCTTTGTGCTGAGAAAAAAAAAACCGAATGAAACTCCCCATTTTTAGTTAAAAGAACCGACACTCTCATAAATTAAGAAGTAGTTTATGAACAGTCAAGCGGTTGTTGCATTGCATCAGCAAAAGAGCTGAAAATAACGAGAAAAAAAAAACAGTACGTTTCATGAAAAGTCGAATTGTTTGTAGAAAATGGTTACGTAGTGCGTTGCGTGCAGCAGCAGTAACAACAGCAACAGACGTCAAGCTGAAACAGTTGTGTTAAAACCCACCGAAGTGAATTAATCCAAGGTCGAATCCATTTTCAAAAGCCGTTTATAAGTGTTTGTTACGCGTAGCATATTTCTTTCTCAACTGCGTCTCTCTTGCAACATAAGAATGAAATTTGTGAAGAAAAAAAGTCGAAACACTGAATGTACGTTGATTATTGACGAGGAAACCAACATCACTGGGGCGAATATTGTTACGAGTACATGCAGATACCGAAACCAACGGGTTACTTCACCAAAACAAAGCCAGAAAGCAGGGAAGAGATGAGAATCATCAGCATCATAAAAACAACACACAGTAAAAATCAACCATCATCATTTTTAACACATTGGTTGTGCGCATTCAATCGTATACAAACGATAATTTACGATACCTGCGCACTGATTTACGACGAGCCGATGTATTGATGCCGGACTACGGCAAACACACACACACACACACACACACATACTCAACATCGATTCCATTCGTATTGTGTTAGAAGAAAGACCCGGTTGAATCACGCGTCCTACTTTTCGGCAAGAACATTAAAACGCGCGCGCAAGCGCACACAGAATTTGATGTAGAAATGAAGAAGAAGAAGAAGAGGAGAAAAAAAGACTAGCAGTTTGTGTCGTAATATTGGAATTACACTTAGCGGCCAATTGACCATAAAAATATATCCAAATTGGTTTTATTGCCCCATTCATAAAATATGGGCAATGTTATTTGTTTATGGATTCCTTCTTTGTTTCGTACTTTATCGAACTCAATCGAATCATTCATCACATTGGAATGTTGTCTCGCAATGATAACCCGAGAGATACGATGTTTCTCAACCATTTCGAATTGATAAATAAAACAATTCCCGGTGAATTGTCATCAAAACATCATAATTTTACGATCGTAAAAAAATTGTGATAAGATCGCCAATACGATTTCTAACGAAGAAGTTGTTTCGCAGCTGGCCATCATTTTTATGTCCTGTTTTTTTCTTCATTAAAAGACTTTGTTTTTATGAGAAACACATGCGATAAGCTGAGAGATACTTACAATTTTTCGACGGAATCTTAAATATAACGTTTCGTTGACAGATTTATTTAATCCAAATGATGTTGTTCGTTCGTTCGTTGATCGTTTTAAATTCACACACAGACACACAATTTATTCTTTGGGACTATGTTTTCTTTTTCTCTCAACGTATACGTTTTACGAGTTCAAACTTTTTCTTCACAACACAATTCGGATGCAAAACACTTCAGTTTATACAATTCCAATGTTTTTTTTTTCGTATCAAAATTCAATTCACTGCACGTTTTCCATGCAAAATTTAAAACTCAATTGACAATGTCAAGATAAGAAATCGGTTTTGTTGTTTCTTTGCTTCTTCGTTTTATTCAGTCGCTGTTGTGGTTGTTGTTGTTGCCGCTACAAATAGAGCGATAATTCCTATGTTGTTTATGAAAAATTCTTCGAGTTAACTGTAAAATAAAAGTCAATCTATCGAACGGTTCAGATCAGAACACTTATAGCATCAATATGAGGCGCGTTCGCCCGTACACAAGAAACTTAATACGAGAGATGCTAACTGTGGCTATGGTTTTTAGCTTGTACAAATGTGAATTCGTCATGAAAATGTCGTCGTATGTGAATTTATTGTATGCAGCGCCACTTAGTCATGAGTGATTCGCGATAATTATATGATGATCGTTGGCTTCATTTACTCGCCAATTCCAGTATCTCAGTTGTTGTTCTTTATTCGAAATTCGAATTGACGTGCAAAGTGTTGAATTGGAACTGTACAATATCGAAAGAGTGAAAAAACAGCCAAGCAAAGCGCAAGGCACGGCTCAAAAAAAAACGTTCAGAATTATTGCAGATGAGTCAGTCACAACAGTTACAAATGAAACCACATGCATTTATTTACGTTGTGTTGTCAATGTTCAAATCTCTCACACTGTGCAACTACTTAGTAATTTGATATCGAGCACATCAACACAAGCTCGCATATGACACAGCTCTTGCTGCTAAACACAACGGTTTTTTTGTCTGTCAAAAACACACATCGATTGAAATTGAAAACCGACCGAGAAAAAAAAAACGATCTGAAACTATTCATTCATTTTAAATGAGAGCACTCGACCGATACAGCCACTCGAAACCGATGCTATGATAATTTTCAATGAATTCGATGTTCACCTCTTCACTGATGTTTGTTTTGTTCGCTCGATCAGTTTTATCGGTCGATCTAAACAAATCGACGGCAGAAGCCGAAACAAGACAAATGCACACCACAAATCGAAAAACTATGAATTATTTGTTCGATTCAAGAGCCTCTCAATTCACTAAACGTTTATCATTCGGCTGCCTTATCGCTGAATTATTTTTAGTCGACGATGTTTCTTCTTCTTTTTTTCTCGTTTGCTGCTTTTGCACTCAGCTCAATTTCCATTCACAAATCAATCTTGTGTTGATTTCTTTAGCCGTTGATAAATCACTTGTTCGTTTGCACTAATGGACATTTCGTTCGAAATCAAACATTTTTTTCCCATCGATTCATTAGACTGGGCCTTTTTTTACGATGGTAAATTTATAACAATGTAGACAGAGAGAGCAAAAAAAGAAACAGACACGCAAAATCCCAAATTATTTCGTTGAATTTAATGTGTAAATCGTTGTTCACTGTGACTGAAGCAGTGTGTGAGTGATGTCATGGGATCGCTAAATTGCACTCCATGTGCTTGTGAAATTTGAGTTTTTTCCCTCGATTTTTAGATGGACTGTTATTTTTGTTTTCGTTCCTGATTTAGTCCAACAAGTGTTTTTTTGGGATTTTTTTCTCTCTTGCTGTTGTTGTTGTCGTTTAAACTGTTTTTTTTTATGGTCGGCGTTGTCGTCGTCGCATTCACACTTGTGAAAATGTCAAGCCGCGATAAATTTGCTAGAGTGTTGTGTGTTGGTTTTTTCTCTTCTTTTCGTTTCTTCTTTTTCCGTGTACGTTTATTCTGTTGGTTCGTCACAAGCAAAAATTGTTGTTGTTTTTTTTTCTCGCAATGTTGTTGTTATTCGCAGATGAAACGTGTGCTTTCAGAAAAATTTACACCATCGCGCGTAAATAGACATTTGTATGGTGCGCGCGGCTAAACCATGTACGGCATTTTATGACTCAAACGAAGGAAGAAGAAGAAGGAAAAAATAAATAAACACCAAGAAAACCAATGACAAATAATTCACTTCTATTCACTGGCATTAGAATTACAATTCGAGTCCATTCACTTTACTTTTGTTCTAATACCGCAAGTCTAATTGAAGAATGTTTCGATTTCAACATCCAATAATAAATGACACAATAAACACGAATGAAGAAAAAAACTAATATAATAAAGAAATAATTGATATGAAATTTACGGGGCAATGCAAAAAATACACTAGTAATTTTAGAGACGTGAATGAATAAATTGTGCGGCGATCACAAAATCGAGTGTGTGTATTGTGAACACATCGACTTTCGTTGAAAGACTGATGGTGCTCACCGTGCGCAACCGACTTGTGTGTGCGTTATTCTCTGACTTTGCTTTGTGCTCGTTCGTTTCTATACGGAACACTCGACTGAGCCAATGTATTGGGCTGAGTGAATAGCAGAACACATGGTCTCTTGCTTCTCTCTCTCTCTCTCTCACTCGTTCATTCGTTGTTCAGCAATTTTGCTGTAGAGTCGTTTGTTCGTTTGGTTTACGATCGAAATACACACGCGTGTAGTAGCAACCGAGGTACGCATGTACAGTGTATGCACCGCATCGAGACGCAAACTACAATCACAGACAAATGTGGGAGTTTGTTGTGCTCAACTACTTTGTCAATTGCTGTTGTGCATATGATCCCAATTCGGCATGCTATCAATGGAAATGTAAAAATATTATGAATGTATTGCTATTGTCGGTGTGACACTCGTACCGATTGCTCTCTCTCTCTCTCTTTCTCTGTCGCTCGATACTTGACGACCAATTGAACACTGGTACATTCGATAATATATGACTTTTGACTACGTACGCATATGGAAATTCACATTCAAGCACTTCATACGCAACGTCAGACGGCTTTTATACACATCCACACCCAATGTTTTGGAATTGAGCTTAACAAAAACTATGTCTATCTATAAGATCGTGTTGTGAGAGCAAAGCAACACGCTCATTCCTGTCGGCATTGGACGCAAGGCACAACAACGTCGTCTGACGCAGATCACATTTTACATTTCTGTACTGTGAAGTGCTTAGTGGAAGAATATACAACAAAAACGTTGTTTGATTCACGGTTATAACATGTTATATCAATGGAATGCAACATTTTGCCGTTAAAAGCAGATTTTAGAAGAATTGCGTTTTATTTATTGCCATACAAATTCGATTCAATCGTATTGTTTGCATATTTTAAATTGCATCTTATTTTATGTTCTTCCTTATGAAGATGTTTCCTTCTGAAAAGGGATTCGTGGTTCTTTTGGGCACAGGCTTGAATATCATTCCGCTGAAGTCGACCGCTAGATTGAAGTTGACCGCTGGCGAGAAGCAGGTGGAGCTGACTGAGAGCGACGATTAGTTGAGGTTTTAGTCGAAGGTGCAGGTGAAGTTGAACGACCACGCGGACTCGATTCCTTTGATGACGAAGATCGTTTATATCTTCGTGATTCGGTTTCATCTTCGGATGATTTCCTGCTACTTCGTTTCGGTGAACTTGGCCTTGAAATGCCTGGATTAGGGTTGGCCAATAAAGGCAATCCTTTCGCCAATTTAAATGGCATGAATTTAATATGTTTGGCGAAGTCGTCATACGAACAGCAGAGTGTGTATCCAGCTGATACGTTTTCATTATTGAATTTGTAGCCGAACTCATCGCAGACACTGTTACACAACGTTGAAAAGCGTTTTATCTCCTTTTCATCCATGTCTGTGTCGTTGGATGTGAAGAATGCTATGGTGGCTTGCGTTTTGGCATGGGTAACTAATTTCCAAACTACCAAAGGAACTTCAATTTTCTGATTGACAAGGTCCAAATAGACATTTTTCATTTCGCCCTTCTTAGTTTTCTTCTTTAAAATTCCATAAACTCCGGTATGAATCTGCATTGTTTCTTTCATATCTATCGATAATGAACGCCCATATGCTTCTACTTTTGCCCAGTTCTGAAATATTCGATTCAACCGAAATTAATTTTTTTTTCGCAAAAAAAAACATATTTTTCGTAATTTGAAAGAAAAAAGGTCGAAAATATATTCTCACCTGGCCATTCAT